AACTCGTATGCTTGCTTTATTCTCTACATTGCTCATCTCGCAAGCAGTCACATGCTTGCCAATCGGGACATTCGGAGAGGCAAACTTCCATGCTTCCCTCAACACCATCTACCCCTTCAAGCCAAGGTACAGATCTGCCAAGACTTCCTCTTTTGGCGCCAAACAGACGCACAGCTTCGGTACGCTCAGTGGGCTACTCCGACCTTTTCCGCCTCTCAAAAGCCGACCTCTTGCATGTTCTAAAAGAGTTCCCGGCGACCCGAGCCAAGCTCGAAGAGGCAGCGTTACGCCGCCTCTCCAACACATCCTTCACAGCCGATGGACAGGCTCCAGTACCGCCGATGACTACCACTTGTTCTGCATTTGCAGCACCGGCGCCCAGTCGGGATCAAGGGCTACCATTATCGGTCAATACAAGAAGCAGAGACTTTTGGAGATCTTCCTCCTGTCAGCAACGATGCTGGTCACCTGGTTCAATGCCACCTCGTCCGGACACCACTCATCTCTTCGTGAGTGGTTCCAGTTGCAGACAGATTGATTCGAGCCGCCCAAACAACCAGAGGGAACCGGTAAAAGCAAGTGGGTGGCAGGAAATCGAAGAGGCATGACCCAAAAATAATTTAATTTTTTATAGTCATCAAGAAAAACATCACATGTCATAAAATGTTCATAGTCTATAAGGCATATTGTCAAAAAAATGAAGGCAGAATTTAAAATAATGGCTGATTCTTTTTTATATTCCATAAATATGCTGTGGAAATTTATTTCACACAGTTCCACAGGAAGAAAGAAGATGCCCAGAATATCGTACTGCCAAAATAGGTAGCCAGCAGACAAAGGTCCGTCTTACTTTGAGATTGACAGACATTTCGGCTATTCGTATATATTTAGAAGAACTGAAAGTGATTGTCTTTCGTAAATCTTAGTCATTCTCGCAAACAGTGCTAATGAACAATTTGGAGGAGACCAGACTAATCTATGCTTCCATACAAAGAGGCTATGTGCAAGATAGGCCACTTTACAACTTATCTCATGGGCGATTGCTTCTTGTTATCACTTCGATGGTTGGAGCAAAGTTAAAATAGTGAAGGTAGTGATGAGGAGAAAAGCCTAATTGGAATTCCAAAGGAGACTTAGCTACGGATGACTGTAGCTCTTTACACTTGATAAAAGATTACATAATCCTTGATGTACACACACATAGTTGCCATATATCATATGTGTAGCCTGTGTAATCACGCTAAATACGAATAGAAGTGAGCCACCAATATACTCGGCTCAATGGTACCCATACACCACATTTTTACAATCCTATTTTCTTGATGGAATGAGGCCAAGATTTGGGTTTCAGGTATCGCTCAAAATGCTACTTGATTAATGCATTTGTGTGTCAAGCTTGTGTCTGAGATTTTCAGTCAAAGCATCCTGATTCTTGCCACTCACAGCCTATTGCTAATGCTTTAAATGTTATTATATGAATTGGAATAGACTTGCCCGATTTCGCTCCTATTGGCCGGACAGCAGGGCCGAGCCTGTACTCACCGTTTTGACTTCTTTTTTCGGCGCAGATACAGTGGTCCACCTGAGGGAGCCGGGCAGACGCAATTTTCTTACGCCGCACCCCACGAGCGAATGATATGTAATTCGACCCAATCCTGGTATCGAGGGTGGAAACCTACCAAGGTACCGGAGGTTGCGTGTATTTGATTCTCCATCATTAGTCAATCCATCTCTTTTGATAGTATTTGCCTCAGTATGCTAAATTCCAAATGCGGCCTGCGTATTGTTGATTAAGCAGTACCTCTACTTGCTCAGACTTTGAAAGAAAATTTCTCAGAAAATCTCCTTCTCCAATTAAAGCTAAACGCCTTATTAACTGTTCCTCGAATTCCGGTATATCATCTATCTTTTCAGCTTATTCCACATATGTAGCATATTTTACCTATGGGTATGTGAAATCCAATAGAAACGTTAGCTCTACCCACATCATTGTGGGAAAATTCTACTACTAGTACTTCATCACCTCAAACGAAATAGGGTGAATACATCTCATATTACTGATTTACTGATAGTCTCGAAACTCTACTTACATACAAAAAATATTCTACTTGACTTTTCATCTGGCCCAGATTTCAGAATAGCTGATATAACTTCCCACTTTCCAAGTTTTTGAGTCTCTGCATGCCTCGATAGTCTCAATAATTCTTACTTGGGTGATTTAATGAATACAAGTCTCAGGACGGATGTCAGGCCTCACTCATATTACAATCATAGTTGGATTGAAGGTATGAAGACCAAGATGGTGTGGCCTTTTGTGTGGTCGCAGTCTCCTTTCGTTGTATAGAGG